AAATGACATGGCTAAATGACTTGCCGAAGTCACAGAGCTAAGCTCATTAGAGACAAAGACTGCAGCCAAATCCCCTTCCATGAAAGAGTTGTTAGCTGGGAAGTTCAGTTTCTGACAAGCCCTGAGATTTCTTGAGATTTAAGCATAGTAACATTGAGCCATGAAAAGAACCACATCACTCCTCACTGGTGAGCATTTCACTGGGCAGAGGGCAGTTGAGATAATAAACATATTAACGTTCAGCTGCTGCTGTCACTGTGTACTGATGCCCTAAAGGAAGTGAAGAGGGACCTCTCCTGTGGGAGTGCCGTGCTCCCTCTCGGCAGTGTGTGTGCCCGGCACCTGTCCAGGGAGAAGGACCCTGGAGTCTTGAGGTTGCCCTTCCTTTCTTTTTGCTCCGGCTCAGTATCATCCTATATCCGCGTGGTATCAAAGGCTCTTTGGTCTTCAGTGTAGCTGTCTTATTCTACCAGGAGGGTGTTTTATGTTGCCACTGCCAAACAAGTGATTTTGGTCTTGATTTCTGGGCCTTTGGAAGTATGGCTGCGTGAAAGCAGTCCTGCATTTGAAATTCAGACACAATTAGACATTAACGTCCATTCCTCCCTAGCACAGTATGGAGTGGGGCGTTCTTCACAGCATGTGTGGGACTCCACATCGGCCTTGCATTTCTCATGTATGTTGTATGTTTTCTTCATAATGTAGTGGCTGACTCCCCTCCCCCCCAACCACCAAGGGCATCTTTACTGGGAGTTGTATTGCATGAGTTTTAATCCTGACATTCATGCCACCGGTTTTGTTCCTGTTTACTTTCCGTCTCAGCATCTCCTGGTCTTAGGCCAGCAGCGGGAACCTGACTCTTTCCTAGCCGAGAGCCTTGTATCCCTGTCCTCACCTTACTGCATTTTTTTCCTTACGCAAGAAACTGTAGACATTTTCTATTTTATCCTGTTCCAGCCCCACTGTCCCTAATTTTTATCACAAAATATCTATTATTAAAGTTTGATTCTAAGACTTCCCCTCCTAGAGGGGAATTTGCTACGTGGCATCCCTTGTGTTGTTCCGATTTTATTTTTATTTTCTCCCAAGCCTACTTGAGTCTGCATCTCACTGGTACTTGCGTTAACAGGAACAAAAGCCCTGTTGGGGCTGTTCTTTTACAGTGGGAATATTAATTGTAAAAGTATAGCTGGGTAGAATGTCCATTCCTGTGTTCTCTGAACCCTCCTCTGCAGTCACGACTTCTGTGCGGGGGTCTCTGACCCTGTGTCATGGGAAGGAGAGGGCCCTGCTTCCCTGTGTTTAACACAGCACCCACTTTTCTGACAGGATGCTCTCCCTCTCCTTGGTCAAAGCTCAACTTTTCTTGTCGAGCTTATAGATCATTTTGGATCTTTAGGAGCATAGCCTTATAACCTGTCTGTTAATACTTAAAATATATATTTGTTAGTTCCTGATCCTTTTGGGTTCTTTTTACCCATATACACACACACACACATACACACACATGACAATGGGTATTTATGATATTATAAACATGCAGAAAAGTATTTCAAGAAGACACCTATATAATAACAAATATTAACAATTTACTCCTTTTCTGGTCTTTTTTAAAGAAAAAATGTTGAAAATAGCTCTGTTGCATTTCTTTTCCTATTTTATTCTCTTTTGTCTCTCCCAGAAGTAACCAGTATCCCGTGTATATCTTTCGTGTATGATTTTAGAATCTGACTAGAGTTGCCAGGGCTCTGGGTTTTTCCCCTGCCTCTCGGCCCTGTGTACTGAATACGTCTTCTCTTGCTGGCCTGGTTCCTCCTCCCTCCACTCCACCAAGTGGGCTGGAAGAGGCTGGGGCACCTTAGCCTCTCCTGCTTCCTTCTTTCTCCTTAAACCCTTCCTTCTATTATACTCTACCCTCTTCTTAAACACAGGACATTATTTGACTCAACTTTATCTTATTTTTTCCTTCACTATTGATACCCTAATGTTAAATCAGTTTGATTTCCACTCTGGGCCTTGACTATTAACACAGACTCCTTTTTACTCTGTTATAGTATTAGTATTAGTCAAATGGAGAACAGGTAGAATGATATGAAAACCTAAGAAAGAAATGTAATTTAATTGCCCCCTGTGTATAAACACACCTAAGGAAAAGGGGGCAGAGCTGTGTGTCTTAAGAGAATCTGTCATGTTACAGTGACAGGTATGAATTACACGTGTCATTAGCATGTTTGCTATTTAAAGCTGGTGCTAAAGTCATTTGCCATTACACAAAAAGCCATCTGACGCGAATTTTCTCAACAAAATTCTATTTATCTTTACAAATATTGATAATCTCATTTTATGGTTTTTATATGACAGATATTTTATATTTTGAATTATCAGTTGCAAAGCATACTGTAAATACTTTTAGTTAAAGTAGATTAGTTTCCCCACAATGTGGAAGATGCACCTTGAGTGGAGACCCATTAGGGCTGTGTACTCTTTAGGGACATAGCCAGTGATTTGAACAGATACTCAGGACTCAAAGGGATTAACTAGGAAGACAGATACATATCTATTCAAATGCTAATGTGGAAAATCTACATTCAGATACCAGCTACTCCTAGGAAGGATATTATTTGAATGGCACTAGGAAAAATACAGGGGTTGTAGAGGAAGTGGGGAGGAGGAATCTCAGTGTGGAGCTTGAGTGGTTGTGGAAGGAACTGGTTTTCTGCTCTAAATTTATTTACACATTAGCTTTCATTTTAGAGAAATACACTCTCCGTCCATTACTCCTGGAAAACCACAGAGTGCTACTGAATATGTTGATGATATGTCTGTCAAAATGGTTGTAGTTAGGGATTTTAGCTGGAAGTGAATTCTAAAATGTTCTAAAACTGAAGCTTTACGTTTAGGTCTTAGTAAGGGTAAACCACCTTGAGCTAGGCAAGAGGAACGTCTGCCACATCCTGAATTTTCCCACATGACACTGCATCTTTTATGTTTCAGTAGAGTATAAGACAATAAGATTAAACCCAGTTTTTCCCCCGAAAAAGTACTAGTTAAAAATCTAATACAAAACATTCTTGGGATTCATGAGGTACAAAGGTGTAGCCTTTTTCGGTAACCTTTTGCTTAATAATGATGTTTCTTATTTTTCTGTTTTATAATTTGGTCACCTGTCCCACGTAGGGGTGGTTGTGTTTCTTCTTGGTCCCTTTACTTTCTGATGTGATATAATGCTTAGTAAGGATCAGTCTCAGTTGTCAACCTAGCAGCTCAGCAGTCTGAAAGCATGGGCTCGGAAGTCTGGACCCAAGCTTACTGGGCCAGAGTGGTAGCTGCTCTGTGCCTGTCTGCAGCCTCTCTGTCTTTTGACTTCTCCCAACTCCTGCCAAGTAATAACACATCACCTACATCGTGAAGTTTTCAGAAAGCAAGAATTACTACATGCCATTACTCCTTTTTACAAAACCAAATGCCATTTGGGTCATGAAAACATTGTTGATAATAGAATTTTTATATGTCCCTTGTTGTCTAGTAAAATATTTACAAGACTTTATTGGTCCTTTCCTTTTTTTCTACTTATTTGTAGATATAAAAGCCTTAAAATACCTGGCTTTAAAAATACTAGTTTGAGCCAGCAGCATAACTGGTAGAACACTTACCTGCCATACCCTAGGTTTCCTTTCTATGTCTGAAAAAAAAAATCTGTCTCTAAAAATATAAAGGGGAGGAGGGTACCTTTGATATATATAGCAAAGATTTAGAGTGTGAATTTGATCCTGTAATAATGAAATTCTGTGTATTACAACTTCATTCTGATTTGCTCTCGCAGGGTTTTCACCTGAGGAAATGTTGTTAGTCCCTGAGAGGATCTGTTTCCCACTTCCCCCAAAGCCTTGTCCGCAGGATCATTTCAAGACGCCACTTGTCTGTCCTCCTGGACCCTAACAGTGCCCTGCGCCTCTCTCCCTAGTGACACGAACGAAGTGGACATCCCACCCAACACGCGGGTGGGCACCAAGCGCTACATGCCCCCGGAGGTGCTGGACGAGAGCCTGAACAGAAACCACTTCCAGTCCTACATCATGGCTGACGTGTACAGCCTCGGGCTCATCCTCTGGGAGGTTGCCAGGAGATGCGTCTCAGGAGGTAAGGGACAGTGCGGGTACTGTAAATCCCTCCTTTCTCATCAGAAATCAAGGGCTTCATGTTGTCTGCAAAATCAGTTTCTTTCATTTTCCTATTTCTGCTGATGCAGTTATAATCCTTCCAGGAAAGGATATTTGACATGTTACAGTAATCCGCACTACATTCCTTCCTCCGATCCCTGAAGAACATCTTCCAGAAACACTGTTGACTTTACTGGTGTCAAGATCGCCCTCTGCTGGTGTGTGCTGTCGCATTTCTGTCTCCTGCCCTTCCTTCCGCTGTTGCTCCACCAAGTCCATTTCTGGCCTTTCTGGCTGCTGCTTATGCCTTCGAGCCCATCTTCCAACCCTGCACCCATTCTCTTGATATTTCCTCTGCAAAGATGGCCTTAGAGACATAAAAGTGGGGTGAACACACTTGTTCCTTACCTCTCCTACTTCTTTACTATCTGTAAAACTTCCTCATAAAACACTTTGGAAGCATCAGTGTTTATGGAAAGGAAATTAAAGCATCAAAACATTTTTATTGCTCATAACTTTTCTATAAGCGTAAGGATTCCCTAGTCAGACCAAGTATAATCAATAAGATATCCTTAAATATTCCAAAATAATATTGCTTGTACTACCGTGACAGAACAACCTGTATAATCGGCCTTCTAGACAATTCCAGCTGTTGTAGGCAAGAAGCTGAATGTCAGGCTTCTCTGTATGAGGCACAGAATACACCCTGCATATTTATTATTGTGCTCATTAAAAACAACAGCTTGGTGCTGCTGCTGTTCCTCCTCACAGCCAGTTTTAACTCTACAGGAACACAAGTTTGCCCCAGCTTGTGAGTGTGCAGGGCGCACGTCACAGGTACTGAGAATTACCCTTGTACTGCTGTTCATTATCTGCAATGTCTTGGACAAGTTGTGATACTTTTCTTTGTTTTGATATTTTTCCTCAGAATGGGGTATGTTATTTGTACGTATCTCAGACAGTTGTAGGCTTTGATGAATTAAACTGCCTAGCACATAAATTATACTCTATCCATGTTAGTAATTCATGTTATTAATTTTCATTTGGGTTGGTGGAGTCATAACATATACAGATTTATACTTAAATATGAAGAAGAGACAGTCGGTAGCATTCATAGTCATAGATGTGGAAGGATCATCATCAATTATGCAGAACCTTCTAATCAGCTTGGGAATTCGGAGATCCTTATAAGCAGTTTGAAATGGAACACGTTCTTTTTGAAGCGAGAAAACTTACCCAAATGGAAGTTAATGCAGGAAGTTTTTTCTAGCTAGGTATTGAATTTTCTCCCATCGTAACAATGATGAGGAAAACAACCAAAATATGAATTGACTTATTGCCTATTTGACTTCATACTTTGTGAAGAGGAAAGGAGTCTGTATCTGAGTAATCTGCTTACTCTTAGTAAGCTAGGTTTATAGACCTGAAAGGTAGAGAGTGCTTTTCTAGTTATGTTTCCCTGCACACCTGAAGTAAACAGGTACACACACAAGACCCTTGCAGTGGAAAGCCTGTGGGCTAAGTGCAGGAGAAATCATACGAACAAGCTCGGTTTATATCCACAGCAGGCCCCTGCATGGCTAGGGTCCTTGGGGACATGAGCAGTGTCACTGCTTGAAGACAAAGTCCCTGTTCTGCCCTCAGCTGCTGGCTTGGAGCAAGCTATTTAACCCCTTAAAGAAAGTTTCCTTGTAGATAGCCATGCTTCCTCTTAAACGTGTCTGTGAGAATTTAGTGCAATATATCACATAGCACACCAAACCATACTCCATACTTGGTATATAGTAGACTTTCAAAATGTTTTTCCAGACAGGTGAGGCATGATTTCTATCCTTTAACATTTTCCTTTATCAAGATACTGGCATATTGGGAGGCTTGTCTTTGTAGTTTAGGGATGTTGGGATATAGGAGATACAACTAGATGTAGGCCTTTCAAACTTCGAAAGGGAAAAAGAGAATGCTTTGGAGTTTCAAACACAGAGTCAAATGACAGCTTATATGGAAATTTTGGTAACTTGTTTGTAGGATGTCTTAGTTACTTTTCTTGTTTTTGAGACAAAATACCCGACATCCAAAGTTAAAGGAGGAAAGGTTTATTTGGCTCACAGTTTGTAGCGGTTTCAGTCCCTAGTTGACTGACTCCAGGGGGTGACGTGGCAGAAGGGCACTGCGTGGAGGAGAAATGGTCACTGTGAACGGGCCGGTGAGAGCCCACTAACCCTTTTTCTGTCCTTATTTCTCATGCAGGCTACCCGCCCTAGGGTGAGTGTAGCACGCACACCCTTGATCCTAGCCAGAACTGTGCCAAATCAATCAATGGACTGGTTAAGTAATTACACATCCTTGATCCTGGCATCATCCATGATAGATCCAGGCACCTCTGAAAGGCACTCCCTCCACACGACTGCATGAGACTTTGGGGGACATCTAGACACAAGCTGTAACATATAATGAGGAGAAATGAGTAAGGCCTGCCTATCATTTAAGGCCAAAATTTGATTAATTCATAATTTTATGTGGTTGGCTGTGCCTATGTCTGTTGTAGTTTTATCCTGCCTCACTCTCCAACCATCAGCCCATTAATACCACCAACACTGGCTGCTGAGGAAAATAGGAGATGAATTAAATAGATGAGGTCCAAGCCCTTGAGATGTTCCAGGGCCATTGTTTTGAGAGTTGGAAAGGAAGGAAGAACTGAAACGAAGCAAGGGCTCCTGTGTGTCAGGCCCTGTGTTTTCATTATATCGTGTGTTAAGATAATAATGGAAGATAGGTAGAACTCTTGAAGATATTAGCATAGGAAAAGACTTTATGAACAAATCCTCAGTAGCATGGGAACTAGCACATAGAGTCAGCAACTGGGATCTCATCTTTTTAAAAAAGTTTCTGCACTGCCAGAGACATCACAAGCAGAGCTAAGAGACAACCTACAATGTGGGAATAGATTTTTGCCACCTGTTCCTCAGACAAAGGTCTACTATCTAGAACTATAACTCAAAAAAATCAGACCCCCCAAATATGAAGACCGGATTTAAAAATGGGCATCTGAAATGAACAGACATTTGTCATACAAAGAAGTAAAAGCAGCAAATAAACACAGAAAAAAATGCTCGACATCAGTGATCATTCAAGAGATGCAGATGAAAGCAACACAGATTCCACCTCACCCCACAAAGAATGGCTGCTATCAAGAAGTCATACAATAACAAATGTTGGCAGGGTTGTGGGGAGAAAGGAACCCTTCTTCATTGTTGGTGGGAGTGCAGACTGGTGCAAGCATTGTGGAAATAAATATGGAGATACTGCAAACATCTAGGATTAGAAGTCCCATTTGACCCAGCTATTCATCTGCTGGATATCTTCCCAAGAGAATTACAAGAATCATACCACAGTGATATATTCTCACCCATGTTTACAGTGGCACAGTTTGTAATAGCTAAAACTTGGAAAGAGCCCAATTGCCCATCAACTGGAGACTGGTTAAAGATGTGTTTTTTTGTTTTTCTTTTTTTAAATAAAACAAGAGTATTAGCCATAAAGAATGAGAAACTAGAGATATTTTTAGCTAAGTGGATGCACATTGAATCCATATTCTTAAGTGAAATTAATAAGTACATGTGTAAATACTGAATTTCTCTGGTGTGAAAAACAAAGTGTCTGTAAAGATTAAAATGTATAATTGATATTGTGTAAATCAAAGAAAAGATTGAAAAGTGTTGAAGTGGGAGGGGTAAGGGAAAGGGAAAAAGGGAAAAGAAAAAATACGTAAAAAGGAAAAACATGGAAACAATGTCTTTGTAAACAGGAAAGGGTCGAGGGGGTGAAGAGAGGTCTGGGGATGGGGAAAAATAAGAACCAAGTTATGTCTTATTAAGGTACAAGATCCCAATGATGAATGTAACTGTATTGAATACCTAAAATACACCAATAAATTCAATAAAGGTAGAAAAATAATGGACCTGATGGAAGTAAAGATAAACCTGGACAATATATGCTATTATGCTCTGTGGTCACCATAGGGACTACAAGTGATAATCAACTGGAATGTTCTAAGAAAACTTTTGAACTTCCTAGTCCTTTATGATTCTACGTGGGTTTGAGTCTACAAGAAGGGGTACAACACAGACCTCAGATTTGGCCCCTAGTGAATTTGATGTTGTGGGATGGAGTCTGCCAACTTGACAGTCTCATCGCTTTCAGGTGAAAATAACGTTTCTATAACAGTTGATTTAAGACAGGAAGCTAAGGGTGCTCTAGAAATACAGCCCAGAGAGCAGCATTGGCTTGTCTGCTGGGGACAGAGTTATTCATAGGAACTCATTGGATAAGATTAAGCTGAAAACACAGTCTGTCTGCTTTTGTGACATGTAGGAGGAAAAATCAGAAATTAACTGTGAGAAAAGATGGAATGAAATACAGTTTAATATCAGATATATAGAGGAGAAAATAAAAATCAGACAATCTTCAAACCTGAAAAAAATCATGGTCTGTATTTTGGGATATACATAGTTTTCCAGAATCATCCTTATGATACAGCAGAATGTGTAAGCTGACATTTCGTTCAAGTAGGATTCCCTCCTACCCTGACAGTGAGATTTGTGGTCTCCTAACACAGTAATAGAACAGTGGGTGTCAAACAATATTAATTCTGCATCATCTTCCAAAACTGCACTGAGATTTAATAGAGACTGTTTTAAATTTTGGTCCTTATAAAATCAGAAATAAATGAGCTGCTTGTTTTACTTAGCATTTAGAAACTAGAAGAAAGGCCTGGAGACCTCTGATGATAGTTTGCATTAACTTTTCTACTCTCTTTTTTTTTTTTAATTAGATCAAGCACCATTTGGATAAATGTTTTCAAGGTTCACTTTGTTGTTTGTTGGCATGAACTTGTCTTTAGTATCGACGGTGGTTTCTTTTGATGACAGTTTTTGAGCTAGGCTGCTTCCCCCTTCACAGGAGATAATTCCGACCACACATTTTCAGGTATCGTGGAAGAGTACCAGCTTCCCTACCACGACCTGGTGCCCAGCGACCCCTCCTATGAGGACATGAGGGAGATCGTGTGCCTCAAGAAGCTGCGGCCCTCATTCCCCAACCGGTGGAGCAGCGATGAGGTAAGGCCTCAGGGTAACCCGGGGCTCCCGCTAACTTCTACACCAGCTTTTCCTCCTTTGCCAGAATTCAAGGCATTCATTATTGAAATTTTTCTTTGTTTCGGTGGTGATGATAATGTTACCTTATTTAGTAATTTGTATGGAACTATGTGCAGGGTGTCAGATCATCTTTTCCTTTCTTCTGCTAGGTAACCTTGAGCCTGTATAACTGATAACACTGTTTCCCGTGCCTAGGAAGTCTTGACATTTGCATAAGAGCTATTACTTCTTCTTCTGTGTTTTCAAACCATCCTCGTTTTTCCCATAGCAAACTCGGATACCACTTTGTGCCATCTTGAAGAGAGGAAAAGCCAGGCAGTGAAGAATTGAGTTTCCCATGAAGTTAAGCAATGTAGGTCAGCCTGGTTGAGCTGCCCGTGTTGCTTGTCTTTGTAATGGGGGCAGAGGGATATGACGGAGGCAAAACTGTATTCATCTCAGATCTGAGTATTTGGCAGTGAAGCCCAAGTGGGTAGAAAGGGAGCAAGGGAGCTGCCCGGAAGGAGAAAGTGAGCTGGGCAGCCGCACCCTCCCTGCTTGGTCTTCCCTCACACCTCTCCCTCCACCACCATACCTCCATGCTCACCCAAGGCCTGGAGTTCTCCACAAGGCTGGAACATTCCAGAGGAGCCTGGAGCATACCCAGCAAGAGAAAAAAAATACTCTTTTCGAGCATGCACCAAACCCACTGCAGACAAATGGGCAGAACACGATTCACTACTTACAAGCTCATTATTCCATGTAAAATTCATCTAAAGTAACCTTGGGTTCATTGGCTTTCATGTCCCATTACTGAAATGGTAAATAATATAGATGTTTCCAATGAGCTGTGCAGGAAGCATTAGGAGATGCTGGAGTTACAGTATTTTGAAGATGGTTATGGGTGTCTGTGCTACTTGGAATCTCTTCAGTGGGGATCCTTAATGAAGTGAAATTGTGCTCCAACAAGATCAGTAATTGATAAACCACAGGAGAAAGTTTTGGCGGTGCGCTATGCAGGCCATTTATCTTCTTAAGTGGTACAGTGTGATTTTAATATTGTAGCAGACAGCTATGATTTAGAAATAACCGTGTTTGTTTGAATAGTATAGAATTAGATAAAATATTTAAACTTCACAAGTGTTAGGAACAATCTGAGAGCACAGAGTAGAATACAGATTCCGTGAGTATTTTCATATTTGCTTAATACTGCTTTCCAAGACAGTTCGGTAATCCGCAAAACCACCTGCTTTCTTCTGTCAAAAAGAAGACATGAAAATCTGAGTCATTGTTTTGCACGAGAAAGAATTTTTTTGGAATTCGTTTTGACATGTACCATTAGGAAACATGTAGACGTTATGAGCCCCAAACTACAAGCCAGATAATGGTACCACCTTCTGGGTGTTGCGTGTCTCTGACATTGCGCCAATGTCCCTTCCCCTTCGCAGTGCCTCAGGCAGATGGGGAAGCTCATGACAGAGTGCTGGGCCCACAATCCTGCGTCCAGGCTGACGGCTCTTCGCGTGAAGAAAACACTCGCCAAGATGTCAGAGTCCCAGGACATTAAGCTCTGATCGAGAGGAGAGGAAGCCTTTCCACCGAGGGCCGAGGGGTCCTCGCTGCGTGGCAGAGCGCACGATGGGAAGTTGCAGCGTCTTCGGTGCTGGCCCTGACTGCTCACAGCTCACACCTTGCTTCTGGCGCAGCTGGGGCAGAACCAGGAGCTCCCACAGGGCAGACTCCCAGGTCTGTTGTAGGAGGGACATGCTGGGTAACCTGTTCGAGATACCATGCATGTTGCTTTCTGGGAAAGCCCTGTATTTTGGAATTGCCGGTTTTTTAAAAAAGATGCTTTAATTTTGCCAAAATGAAACAAATATTGTAGATGTTTTAAGGTTTATAGTATTATAGTTTAAAGAATTACAACTAAATTTCTTCCCAGAGACTGTGTTGGAAGGTAAATCAAAACAGTGTCTCCACTGGTAAAACTACTGTCACACCTGACAAACATGAGACTGCCGGTGAAGTTGGACAGGACTGGAGGTGACCTTGGGCCCCAGCCCCCAGCCTTCTCAGACCGCTTGGACCGGCTCTGTACTGGGGCTGCCGCACAGCGCAGTGCGCACACACCCGGGAGTGCTCCGCCTGCCTGGGACCACTCTGTAGAGTTTCTGCAGTCGGCCTTTGTGGCTTCAACAAAACTCCGAGACAAGGTTGTGTGACTCTCCCACAGGGCGGATGTGTGTTCCTCAGAGTCACGTCTCTGGTCGTCTTAGGCAGCCTTTCATGGTAAAATCCCTTCGTTTTCATGAAAGACAAGCAAAGGCTGTTTTTTATGTGCAAAGAACTGACCTGTCCTTGTCTTTGATATCTCAAATCAGAAGACAAACATTAAATAAAATTGCCATGAATCGTGTAAGAGGCACAGTGCTTTAGAATAGCCCTGACCTGTGCTTGTGGATCTCGAGGAGCATGTCAGTGAGGTAAAGGAGGGGGCTGAGGGCAAAGGCAGCCGATTTATTTCTTACATCTGCACAGGAGCCATTTTTGGAAGCACAAGGGGGGAAGTATGCACACCGTACCTTGTATAGATAAGGATGGCTTGTTATTGTCGGTCTTTTTTTTTTTTTTTAAGTATCTGAGTGAAAGGATAGAGGAAAGTATTTGTCAGGTTAATTTCACTGAATTTTAATTTAAAATAGACAAATATAACCTGCAGATAGAATAACAAGGGCGAGCAGTGGAGGCCATGAAATACTATGGCTGCTGTGACTTACTATTCTATAATAGATAGAGATGGACTGTGGACATCTGAAGTGATTATTTTATACTTTAGGAATGGCGACTCATCCTGTTCTATTCACTATTTATTTGTTTTCCCTTCTCTGTGGCACTTAGGCAAAACATCTCTTTACTGCCAGAGTTTTAACTTCTGAGTACCGTGAGTAAAATCATGGACAGCTCCAACATTTCTTAGCAGTGGGTATATGATAAAGTTTAAAGCCATACACATCTCTCTCGATTTTATCCATTTCATTTCCTTACTGTGGTTCTTCTTGTTAGGAATTCTTCGGTGCTTAATAAGGAACTTGAAAGTGCTTCCCCACTGGCCTTTGGAAAGGATAATTCCTTCCAGAATACTCCAGGGGGCAGTGTTTTCTAACACACCCCAAACCCGGTGACTGCAGGATGGAGCGATTCTGAGACCCTGAGGGCTGTGAAAAAACGAGATGATGTCCCCCTGCCCCTGACACAGGCTTGCAGCTGGTGTCCTGATGTCCGGAAGACACTCTGCAGCAGTGAGTGTGAGCTGTGCTCACATCTTGGAAGAATCAGAGCGAGAAGCACATTGACTTCCCAGGGCTTCATGGCTGTATTTTGTTTTGTTTTTGTTTTTGTTTTGTTTTTTACTGAAAAGGAATTTTGAATCGAAAAGAAATTAGTTTTGAGAGTGAGGACAGCTGGTTATGAATAGACTTGCAGTACGGATACACCTGTAGTCAGAGCACTGCTCTTACTGGTGTTCAGCTAGCCTCGGTAGCAATGGAAAAGTTTCTCATGCGTGCATGGGTTTATATTCTTTGTGACAGTTTAGGTGGAATATGTAGTTAGAAGTCTGAGAATCCCCTGACATTTGTGGAGGAACTTCAGTGCCTCTAATCCGGTCATCTGCCAACAAGTGGGTGAATGGTTAACACAGCCAAATGGTTAAATGGGCACATGTTGGTATTTCTCACATTTTCTGTGATTTGAGATTGGGCTTATCTTTCAGATATATTGGTGTCTACTCTTTGGTAAACACGAACTACTTCAAATCAGAGTATTTTGAAGGGAGGTGATGACTTAAAAATAACTAGATTTTTAGGGTTCCAGTAAAGAAGGAAGAATTAAAATAATAAATTTCTTCTACATTACTCATTTAGTTGCTTTGGGGAAAATCAGTAGCTAACCTTCTAATCCCCAATTTGCTTTACTTCACTATGAGAATTTAAAAATCATTCCCGAAATACCTAGTAAGTCCCACTTCAGTACTATATAGTCTTTCCATGAGACAAGAATTTTATTTTGAATAGAATTTTTCTCTGCGTCTTACCAAAATCTGCTTTACTTAGGTAATAATGAAGTATTCTTAAAAGACTACCTACTCACTTCCCAATAATCTTTTACTATTTTTAAATGTCCAGCGGCTCAGTGGTGAATTTTATTTTGTCACTATTTTGTTTCATCTTTAGATGAATAAATGAGAACCTGGAAATAAGTAAAATAGTCGATTGCTTACTTTCAGACTATTAACTTCCTTCTAACTCCTCTCACCTAAGGGAATCCTGTGTTATCAGTTGTTAGATAGACCTCATATGCTCAGACATTCAGGTTTGTAGCTCACATACGTGTGTATATATTATATAAATATAGATGTATATATAAATACTGTGCTTAGTCTGGAGTCTGGCACAACTTCAGTGTGTGGATTAGAGGGTGAGATATTGTGGAGAATGAAGTATTGAAGGAAACATATTTATTTATGAAAGCGTGTAGATTGTTAGTAGGGAGTGCAGTGCTGGGAGCGACGCTGTGGGAGGAGCCAGGCCTGAGACCTCCCAGAAGGCGCTGCTTGAAAGTCACCAGTGACTGTTTGGTTGTTTTATTTTTTGCTTTGGTATTTTTCAAATAGAAAGCTTCTTAGAAAACATGCTGAGATTTTATTTACAGGGGATTCTCTGACGCATTTGAACTGGTGTGTAGTCAAGGATAGCAAATGTTCAATAATGCCTAAATCCCATGTTCCAGATTCATGCATATTCATTAAGGGTTCGCATTGCTAGTCTGCCCTGGCTCTTCTCTGTTGGTGGCAAGGCAGAGAGGGAGGGACAGTTTTTTTAAACTTGAACGTGTTCGGTAGTTACCTCCTCAGAAAACTCAGCGGTAGCAATGAAAGGAGTGACATCAAAAGTAGTTTAATTTAGCAGTTATAATTCCTCTTGTAAAACAAAGTGAATAAAAAGTTGTTATATTTTTTGAAGAAAAATTGGCAATATATAGGGGATTTGTTGTTTGTGTCAAAAGAAGAGTCATTTATGTTCTTTTGGGGAACCAGTGCCTTACAGGATTTGTATATACTGTAATTATTCAGGACTAGGGAACAAACAGTTGTATTTGTTACAAATTGTATATGGCTTTGTTTTAACATTCCCTTAAATAAAATGGTCTCATTCTCCCCATAGAGAAAATGTGAATGCTGGCTTCTGTTTGTGCCTTTTCTTTTTGTCTCTGAAAACCTGCCGTTGTGACAGGCGGGAGGAGGCAGCGAAGCAATGATGCAGGTCGGTGTGTGAGCGTCTGTGGCAGGAGGGCAGGAGAAATGGTCTGCCTGCTCTGTCTTCTGTGGCATTAGGAAGCACAGGCGCTTGCCGCGAGTAAGAGGAGAGGGAGGGCAGTCATTGTGAGCAGAGAGAGCTCACTGGGGAAGCAGTGGCTGGCTGGGGGCAGTGCTGAGGACCGTGGGCAGCCGGTGTGAGGATCCAGGCTCTCGGTCCCATGCTTCTGTGCCACCGGGCTCTTCTGAGCTGAGGCGGTTTCTTCCTGTTGAAGAAATGTTAATATCGAACACAATACTATATTCTGAACATGATTATCCTGGTACCAAGCACTCAACTGCTGCTGCAGGCAGTTCTTACAAATGTATGGTGCTCTTTCTGCCAGCAACCCAGATGTGGGCATGATGAGTGGATGAATTCGGGGTTGGGGTTTATCAGGCGTAGGTGGCAAAACATCGTTGAATGGAAGCATGATCAGGAGCAAAGTGCTGTGTGATACAGGTGCAGCAGGGCAGGAGATGAAGCAAAGAGGCAGCTGCAGACTGGAAGAAACTAGGTCCAAGCCGGGATCCTGATGAAGTTGCTGAGGTCAGCATCAAGACTCACAGGGGACAGCAAGGCCAAGGACAGGTTGGGGGTGTGATCACGGGACGGGGTGCATTTAAATGAGTAGGCAGGATCCTTGGTGACCTACGGGACCCAAAGGCCAGGCTTGTAGGGGAGACTGTGAGGTCTGTTCTGCAAGGGGCCATGAAGAATGGGCATCACAGGGCATAGAGAACAGAGGCGGGCTCGGTGGTGCGATGTTCAGTGAGCGGGGCTGTATCATGTGGTGATGACCTCACAGCCGTGGTGGGCATGAGAAGTACCCCATCATCTCCACTGTGCAGGGCTTGGGGTCTGTAAGGATGAGGCTGTTGCTCTTGTGTCAGAGATGTCCTGAGGAGGAGAAAGCCCATTGCACGAGGGGAAGGAAGGTGTTAGGACAGTTTTTCATGGATTGTGAACTCTGAAGGGGAGGTACATGGTTTGGTTTTGAGTTGACCCTACTGGAATTTTGGGAATCCCAGAACTGTCTGAGTGTTGGGAGCACAGAAGGGTTTACATGGTAGACACCACTGTGGGGCCAAAGGACTTGTATGTGATCTGCCATGTGAGCCAAGAGAATGCATTTCACTTTCACCTTCCCCATTCCGAAGACGTATAATATCTCTGAACTGCAATCTTCTCACCTGTACATTGGGATAAAAATACCCATCTCCACCCTGCAGTGCTCTCATGAAGGACGCATGAGATGACTACATGAAGTACGTGGCAGTCCCACACCAGCACATGGGAAGTGCTCATAAACATGACTTTTTTCTTTCTGGCATTGGTTTTACTGTCCCTAGGGTCTGCAGGATTGTGAAGGTTCTAGGGCAAAGGACCTAATCCGGATGAGTTCAGCTGATATATTAGTGGTTACCAGAAGAGGTGATGAGGTCAGAATCAAGATTCACAGGGGACAGCAAAACTCAGGATGGATTGAGGGTGTTATAATGTAAGACATTCTACTCTGGCAGGAGGCTGTATCCCTGTGCTGGCAGGGACGGATGGATGGATGCAGAGAAAGGCTTCTTCTCAGCTCTCTGTGACTCGGCTTGGAGACGGGCTCTTCCTGACCTGACTCTGGAAACACTTGCATGCTCTCCTAGGAGTGGCGGTGTATCAACAGGCATCCCAACTACTGAAGCCCCAAATGACAGGCCACCGGGCTGGTCACAGGTTGAATCCGTGTTACCATATGTGTTCTTTGTGCTGTACAGGTTTTGTTTCCCTTTTAATGGAATTTTCATTCTCTCAGCCACAGGCCTACCCCTGATTCTATCCAGATTCACATTTACTTATTTTCTTTTTTTGGTACCAGGGATCGAACGCAGGACCTTGCACTTGTAAGGCAGGCAGTGGCACCACTGAGCTAATCCCCAGCCCCTGCATTTACATATTTTCATTACTTCGCTTGCTCTGAATAAACATTGGAGTTGGTGATCCAAGCACTGGATCTGTTTTGAGGCACTGTCCTGCAGCCCCAGAATGGGACCTTCCCTTAACACTGGTGCGGTCCCTTACACTCCAGCCAGCAGAGTCTAGAGGAGCGGTGGAGGCCGCAGCAGTCCACCCGAGGACACAGAAAGATGTTCTCTCCCACAGAGTGCTGCTTAGCTTAGCTGCTGCTTTCCTCCTCACCTGGAGCCCTCTGCTCGTTCACAAGGCAGTGACGGGTCGTGAACCATGCTGAGCACGTTTGCTGGTATTCTCTACAGCTCTGGGCTGGGTCATGGGCCTCACCCATGATTTCCTACCTGCCAGAGAAGGTGTTTGCAAACGTTACTTAAAATTGGACCTCCAAGGGGAGGGGGGACCTGATGTCATTTCAAGACCCCGGGAAGATGTCAGTGCAGATGTCCGAGGCCACTGGTGCCCATCTTCCCTGCTCCCTCAGAGTACTGGGGACCTTTACAGTCTCAATGCTTAGGCTTCACTCAAACCATTTAAACCAGGATCTCTGGTTTATACACCAGGTATAACTTGTACTTTTATATTTGGTGCTGCTGGGGATTGAACCCAAGGCCTCATGCACACTAGGTAAGCACTGTGCCAATGCATGGGTTTTTTAATCTCATGTGATTTCACTGTGCAGCAGTGTTACAAAAACACCATTCTAAAACCTTACCCTGTCACTGGGGGAAGTCCGATTACCATCCATACAGAATTTGGGGACTTCTGTCCTACCACTTACCATGAAGGACGACTGTTCAGAAGAGACAAGGGAGGCAATACTCTGTTGCTTATAAATATAATTTATTACCTGTTTAAAAATTCTTTGTTACATTTTGTACATGTCGGCTGACACAATAAATGCAGGCAATTTACAAACCAAGGGGACTGCAGGAAAAAATTGGGAGAGGCAGCCAGGGAGAGAAAAGAGGCACACCCAGAGCTGGTACCCCCCACTTCCAACACAGCAAGGCGACAGACGGACGGGATGCCCAGCAAGCACACCACCTCCGCCAGGAAGTCTTAGAAAAGGAATTGCATAGAAGATACAGCAAGAGGGAACTCCACAACAACAAAAGAAGTGTTCTGTAGGCAAGAAGCCAAGGAGGTGGCGGCGGTCTATGTAAAGGAAAATGGCAAAGCACAAAACCTCCATCTGACATTTCTGCAGATGAACTGTTCCAAAGAAGACAGCACAGGGATGACCCAGGCTCTTCGATACAGACTGCTGGGGATTTTTCTCTGACAAACATTGGTTGTCTTCTTTAGAAAGAGCAAAGTGGAAGGTCACCAACTTGCTTCTGCTCAACATTAAAACGCAACACATATGACACTGTGACGTCCGACACACACAGTGCTGATAATTCCCTGCAACTGGGCTGGGGGGCGAGGGCACCACTGCCAATGGGCGTGTGAGTCTAGGAGGGAAGCGGGTTCTAACTGCAGCCATGTGTCTCTTTCAAGGCAGAGAGGGCCACACAGCTGCTATTGTAGAGTACATTTACAGATGGTGTTAATGACTTTAAAAACGAGAAAGGGCAAAGGCATCTTCCACTGGTGGTAGATTTTTTTTAATGCTTTCTTTAAAAAGGCCGAACATAGCTTGAGCCAGGGTTCTTGGATGTTGCCTCACCATGGTGCTGAGGATCAAAGACCAAGAGCTTAGAGCGGCAGTCAGTGAAACCTGCATACAGAGCAGGCTCCTAGCTGCAACCCAGGCCTTCCAGCCCTGGACTTCAGGTTCCATAGCAGGGCAGATAGTGCCTCCTCCAGAAGACTTTGAAATTCAGGGATGACACAGGATTTAGGCTCTTTGTAAGGGACCCCTGAAGGGTATGACCTGTAACTTTTAATTGTACCTAAGCATAAATCTGAAATAGCCTGATGAAAAGCTTGTGTACAGCAGTATGACTGGTGGGCAGCTGGGGCCACAACTATTGTCATATCCTATGGGGATTTCCACCTTGGGACCTAGAAGACCTCTGGACAGATTCCTCCAGTACAGAGGAGCCTGAGTCTCCAGAGGACTGGGCCTAGCTTCCTGTACCTTGTCTCTGTGTGTCCACACATCGTGGAGAGCCCATCTGTTTGGCCTGTAGGCACCTCTCTAGCAACAAGGAAGCAGGCCCGAGGCCTACAGTACACTTGGTTGAGCGAGCCCGTTACCGTCCCACTGTGGGTCAGGACCGGGAGCAGCCATGCCCACTGGGAGTCCTGCAGCCATGAACTCTCATGAAGATGGATCTTCGACAGAAGATTTCTGAAAACATGAGCAACCGCATAGCTGCCAAGATGAGAGAACCAGGAAGTTCACTGTTAGTCTGTAGAGAAAATCCACTCAGTGACATATAAGACCATAGGCCAGCTTTCAAAAATAGTTTTTTCAGATCACAATCCTGGAAATACTTACGACTTCATCTACTTGGTCTGCATGGACATGAGCTTAAATTAACATTGGTTACAATATATTTATTTTCCATCTTCCTTATTTCATTAAAAAATCATTAAAGATGCAAGGGAAATCTTTCAAAGTGATCAGTAACAGCTACAGATTATACAAATAGATCTCTTAGGGTAGAGAAACAGTATTTAATTGCACAGAGGGAAAGTTCTAAGGATTTCAGTCAACATTAGCTCAGTACATTTAAAAATATAAAAATACACAAAGAAAAACAAAGTATAATAGTTGGTCCTACGAGGCACTCGAAAGGTAAAAAAATGTTATTACCTTGAGATAATTGATAAAAATATCTTACTGTATTTATAAAATCTAATGCTCATTGGCTATGATCATCTTTACAAATAACTTGTTTTGAGCAGTGACATTCTGACTTACAGAGCTTCTCAGAGAACATGGCTAGTGCCTGATTTCGTTCCAGCTGTGTTTCACTGGCCCTTCTTTCTTTCTCTGCCCTGGCCTTGCACTAGGGACTCTACACAAAACTAATGACTCATCTAGAATAACTGCTCAGCAAAACTAAAATGCACATTCAACTTACAGACTGAACACAGACCTTTTCTACCTTTTTTACATACCCTTACAGGTCCTTGTACAGTTTTACATCCAAGGGCCCCAGGGAGCAACGTGTCTAGAAGCGAGAACCCTTGGATGCTGGAGAGACAGCGCTCCGCTTTACCGGCTCCCTCCTTTGTGTGTGGGTTGCACAGGTGTAAGTGGTCCAAGAGCACAGCTGCTGTGTCCCTGACAGGTGCACAGGACACCTGAGACAAGACTCATCTTTTTCCCAGGAGACTGGAAAAGTCTGAGTTCGACCTCTGAAAGTTTGTTTTTAATATGCCTTCTAGGAGAAAAAATCTTTTAAACCCATTCCTGAATACCTGTGTTCCAGAGTGCCCCGAACTGGGGCCCATGACTTTTCCCTTAAGGATGGCTCTGCTCTTTTATAGAATGGCTGATTGTGATGCACTGTAACATTGGACACCTCACCCCAACAGTGTCCTGCCCCTGAAGAGCTAGCACTGCTCACGTGAGGACTGAGGTCACTCAGTTGGTGTCACGAGGTGAGTGTGTGTGGGGGAGTATGTTGGTGAAAGGCTGCTGGCTATGAGATCTTTGGTGTCACACATGTCACCATCAGGTGCCCAGTTAGCGATTCTGAATCCAACTTTATTCCTTCTGACCACGAAGGAAACGTGAATTAGTGTGAGAATAAAATGAAAACAGGATGAAGCCTTTGCCTTTAGATTCACAAATTGAGAAGAAGCTGCTGCTCTTTCATCAACAACCACCATTTTCACTTCCTTAGACACAGTATTGCCATTTGCATCCATAAGCTTTACTTCTTTCTAAGCAGATCCTTCCTACATTTCCAAAGGTAAACAGCCGGGAACAGAAAGAAAAGTAATTAAAAGATATACAAAGTCCAATGAAATCACAAATGTTGAAATGACAACTTTTCAAGACATGAGTTTTATGTTTCTATTACAAAGAAGCAACTTAGGACAGGTATAAATGAGTTGATGATGTATTAGGCCTATAATGACAAGTTTTGAGATGTGTGACTTCATTGAAAAAGTATGAGACGGCTATTACAAAGTCAAAGCAAACATTTATCTATTTGTCATAAAGACCCTGCTTACAGGTAGGTTATTCACTCTCTTTGTCAATGAACTTTTAGTGATTTAGGAGCTAAACACGGGGTAGGGTGTGCTGTATACCACTAGATGGCACCATGCACAAATGATAGTTTCTCCCATCCGCAGGAGGGATGCAGGGCTCTGCTCACAGCTGTGTGGAAACAGGAAGTGGCAGGCAGAATGATGGAATGGCTCCTGTGAAATGAACTGTTGTGTTTGAACCTTCTAAGTTGGAGAGCAATCTAACAGCTATTACTTTCCTCAAAAGGAGAAGGAAAGCAGAATTCTTAGTGAAAATTTTTGACATACAGGGTCCTGTATGTATGGACGTTGTCATCCACTTGATAGGAAAGTAACCATTTTGTGATAGATGCTTCCCCCGGAGGGATCAATCACTCTTCCCCTTTCTAGTGGTGGGAGGCGGAACCAAACACCAAGCATCTGAAGTGAATTCTTACAGCCCTCGGTAGCTTCAATACCTGTTACGCTCAGTATTTTTGTGTTGGATTATCTTTAATCAAAGCTTTTAGTAAAAATTCTGGAATCGGTTCATCTTGGGACAGCTCAATTTTTGCTCAATTTTAGCACTGAAGTTTCCTTGAACACCCGGTTCAGATTTCCAGTTCTTGATTTCTTGACGTAATTCCCAGTAATGAGCAATCTTGACAAGTTAATTTTATCTCAAGATGCAATAATGGACAATAAGGTTTTCCTCATTTTGCTTTTTAAGATTATTTAAATTTTTAATTTAGAATACAGCTTTACTCATCAGTACAAACATTATCCACTGAACTTGTTGATTAGCGCAATCTCCCTCTTCCACAACGAGTGGAACCAGTATTTTTTATATGGAAATTTTAATGAACAGTATGGCTAGAGAAACAGCTTCTGGAATAGCTGTCAAAAGTAGAAGATAAAAAAGAAATGGTGCGTGAGAATGGCTTCTTAAGACTAAGAATGGAAGCGTTTGAGAATATTAAGAACTATGAGAGGGAGCACATGGAATGATGGGAGAAAATGTGTAAAATTATTTCTAATTCAAATGCAATTAGCAATGTGGTTACCTCCAGCCCCAAAGACACCTCCGTCACGTTTTGAAGGTTCCCACTCAAGCACAGGATGCTTCCTGTGCAGTCTTGGTTTAGCCACTGGGCTGTTGTTGACTTTTCAGTCCCACTGCTGGGTGAACTGAGTCCCTGTGTTAAAGAGCCCGGGATGGTCCCAAGGAAACCGTAGTTTACATTAAGTAGTCTCTTGGCTATTATTTTATAGGATAAAAGGACTAATTAAATTACCTTTGTAAATGCTACTGCATAGTATTAAAGCAAAGATGGAAGAGAGGAAAAAATGTGCAGCAAGTTGCTACTGCCAGATTTGTGGGAATGGTCTTGATGTCAAGAGTTCAAGACAATAATAAAAATTTACAACAAGGAAGGAGGCTAGAAGGTGAGCGGTCCTATGAGAGAGGACGAGAAAATGATAGCATAAGAGCGAATGCTGAACAAATACATTGCAGGTTAGAATAATTTTCTTCCAAATCAAAACTATTTGAAAAGCATATATTTGCAGCCTGAGAAAAAAGACTAGCTGACTATTTAAATGACTCAAGCCAGAGCTCATTGTCATTTTCAGACAGATGAATGAGACTGGAGGCCTCACAACAGAAGTCCAGCATTTTAAAATTTGAGATGATCTAATCTTACCCCCTACTTTGCTTGAAAGGAACCCGAGCTCCAGAGTTTCAGTGCTTTTCACAAGGTAGCACAGCCAGATGGGATCAAATCCAGAAGTGGTTTTCTGATTTCCAGATCAGAGCCCATTTCCCCAATCCCCCTACCCTTCTGGGAGTCAGTGTGGGGCCCTACAACCACAATATTAAGAGAACCTCAAAGAGCGCATGTCTGGGAAGACTCAGAGGAGAAAGAGCCTGTTGGAGCAAGATGAACAGATTCACAAGGCCCGGGAGCCTTTGCTACCTTTTTTCAGGACAGGATGACAGAGGTCTAAGGCCTGTGAAGCAAGGCCTACTAAATGAACTGCTGACCACACCCAGCCTGCCGTGGGAGACAGCGAGGCAGATCTAGTTAGTACCAAACACTAACAGCAGCACTATCAAAAATCCGAAAGTCCTTTTACTACAATACTTGTAGATACTCAATAATAGTGCCTTTAAAAAACAAACTTCAGATGGCATGTTACAAATATACCTGTCCTGAAGAAATGTTCATGTGGCTGAACACGAATCAAATCTCTTCCCTGCAATGCTAAGCTTTATTCCCAAAGGGCACTGGACAGACCCCCCCTGCCAAAGCATAAGGAACCTTAGTTGTTTGCCGTCTGCATTTAGATTCTCCACTTCCCTGATACAAATGGTTACACTAGTTCTCTAAGTTCTAGAAACAGAACACTCACTGCATCCCTGTCCAATTTGATGTAAACAATGTTTGTAGAAATTGGGTTTGTTAAGAAAGTTTATCCATATATCTGGATAGCAATAAAAAGCGTTTCCTAGGAAACTGTAAGATCCTGTACCATACAGCATACAGCCCAACTAAGAGAAAAATTAAGTTGATTTCTAAAGCCAAGGTACAAATTTATACAATTTTTAACTCCTGTAATGCTGTCCAAGTAAAGTGGGCGTGTACATTGGTATTGTATCTGTTTTCTTTCTCTCTCCTGCTGCCATCTCGCCTGTGATGCTCATTGGTCTCCTCTGGACTTCCTCCCCGGCAGTGTTTCCCTGGATGGCCACAGACTCCTGTGCGTGCATTCTGCCCTTCATGTTTTGTTCCAGCGTGGTCAGTACTGCCCTTCTGCTGCTAAAGACACTACTGTTTCGTGTCTTCCCATTTCTTCCAAGACAGCTGCCAGCATGCTCAGGTTTCCATCTGGGAAATTCTGTGCTTCCCAAAGATCCAAGATTACACCAGTTGGGCTTGATTTGGTGGCAAAGTAATTCAAGTACCTGTAATTGGGAATGGGAAAATGTGCTGAGAGGCATGATTTATGGGCCTATTTTCCTGTCTGCTTTTCTGGGCTAAACCTTCCTGTCTTGAAATATCTTAATCCCACTGTGGTTTCCATGAGCCACCCTAAATGACTAGTCCACACCTAATTGGATCAGCCCCAGACAGGAGACATGATGTTTAACTTTGTTAACCTCAACTCTGAGTAAGATAATTTAAGATACAAGATGTCTGTGGGTCACATCCTAAGGAGGAAATCAAGAGACTTGTTTTCTTTCCAGCCCAGCCTCTGAGGACCTTTGATAGGCTATGCCACTTTTTTTTGGTAGTCATGGCAACACTCTAGAAAGTCCAGGTTCCTGAGTTCTCTCTCTAACTTACTATCAGGGCTGTGTTAGCATATTAATTATCTGTCAAGCATTAGGCTTGGTTCAACTGGAGATGAGAAACAAGAATTACTCTGGTGAATGGCTATATTAGGGGGATTTAGCCCATCAGCTTGGCAAAGTAGATCACAAAACTTGGTACTTACACCTGTCAGATAAACCCGGAATATCTCTCTGAAATCGGTTTGCAAGCCTATGGTGCGAGGTACAGAGAAGGAGCTTAATACTTCTTTGCAGAATGCACAGTGGATTGGTGGAAAGAATGAATGCTGACCTCTGTGGAACAGTTATCATCCTGGAGACCTGTGTCTAACAGAGAGCGCCTGGCTGTGGAGCCCGGCTGCACCCACCTGTCCAGGTTGAGCTTGTGGGCCAGCATCCGCCAGTCATGGCCACGTGTCTGTGGGGCATCCAGGCTGCAACAGAGCTTCTGCCGGATGGGGAGAGGGATGCTGAATGCACTGGGCCCTGTGACAGTGGTGATGGTGCTGGCAGGATCCAGCAGCGGCAAATCGATGCCAGTGGGTTCCTGTAGGAGCAACAAAGCATTGTTTCTGAAGACAAAAGCCATCCCTGTCCAGCCAGTCAACATGATGCCTTGCTTTGAGTGACAAAGAGAACAAGTGCTGTCATTCTCCTCCTTTCTGCCCCCAAAGTTGTGAGTCACTCCAGGTAATCTGACTGAGAGACAGAGGTAGATTTTCAGCTAATCTTGCATAGCCCTGCATTTATGGGTCTTTGGTCAGCACTGAGCTAGTTGTAAAGCGCTGGTATGAGATTCAGTAACAGCTTTTCTATGGAGTTCTCTGGGAGGGAAGAGAAGAGACTGCTCCTAAGGGGTTAGGTTTCAAGAGGGGAAAATGTTCAAAAGGGCACTTCTTTGAGAATGAACAGATCTGAGATCTGGAAGCTGAAAGCAGAGCTTCTAGAAATTGTCTGACCTTGAGGTGGGTGCCCTGGTGGAGCGGGGGGAGCCCCAGCAACTGCAGCTAGCCCTGTGGAAGGTGACTCTGACTTACAGGGTGAGATGGAACAAGGCTGAATGATATTAAGACAAAAGAATTTTAAGAAAATCAGGTTACTGCCTGGGGGCAAGCTGCTAATGGTACCCTTCAATTGCTGAACATCCTTTTTTTTTTTGGTCTAATTTTGGTAGAGAAAACCATAAATTGGCTCTTAAAATAGTTTCAGCTATAAAACAGCACAAATGCAAAAATCTGAATTTCATCTGCAAGAGAAACTCTAATCATTTTCTGATCACTTCTGCTGGTTAGAAAAAGCAAAAGCAAATGTTGCCTGGGAACTATTAAAGCAATAAAAGAAAATCTACTTAATGTTAGTGTGTATAATTAATTGCTAGAGGATAAGTAGCCACAGAGAATCTCAGCCATCGGCAAGTGCCTGGTGCTCAGCTTGGTGTCAGTGCCACTGTTGCTCAGAGGCAGTCTCAGTGGCCTCTGCCAATGTGTGAGTCCTGGTGCTGTGGGAGGCAGGATGGGTCTGAGCTGCCTGCCTTGCGGTGTAACTCGCGGTGTGTTCTGTCTTCTAGGCCTGCGTAATCTCACTGTACAGGGCCCAACCAGGGCCTCAGAGGACACTGTAAAGCCACACTAATTTTGGGCCATAACGTGCACAGTGGTGTTGGCTGCTATCACAGTGTTTGGCCTCACAATCTAAAGCTTGGCAGACAGGTCCCATTGGCTCCTTTGTGCCAGCCCTAACACATAACAGGATTTAGAGGACTGCAGGATGTGGAACAGATGAGGTCAATGGGGGCTGGAGTTCCTGAGTGAGGACTGCAGCCCACAGCTCTTTGTTAGGCATGGGGCTCTTACCAAGGGACGAGAGGGGAGAGTTCTTGACCTCTGGGGGTAGACTTTAAAGGAAGGTAACCAGGAGAATGCTCAGAGGGCATAACAGATTTGTATTTGGAATGTCCCAATGCTTAGGCACAGAATGATGTAAGGATCTCATGCTGTTTCCATAACCCAGTGCCATCACCTGTGTTGAAATCATCTTGCTTCTTTGCTAGACGACAGGCTTAATGTGAGACCTGCCAACCCCTAATACGACACCAGCCCAATTGTCCCTGGGTGACAGTGGAGGGGAAGAATCATATTCTTGCCGTGCTGATGTGTGTCTCCAGAAGAGCCTTCTGATCAGGGTCAGCCATAGGAGCTCCCTGTGCATCGCCGGCATCTGCCAGACTTGGCTCCCACAGGGTCTACGAGTGTGCACTGATATTTCTCCTCATTCTCTCATTAAGTGTTAAATGCTCCTCTTGACTCTTTACTTCTTCTATGAGGCTGTGTTGTACATCTTCATGGGGTTCAGTGGTATTTCCATAGATGCATAAAACATGTACCGATCAAGTCCCGTCATTCTGCCCCCATATCTCCTTCCCAATCTCTGATAATCACTATTGTAATTTCAGGACAATTATCTTTAGCTTCCACTTACGAGAGAAAATGTGGTACTTGACTTCCTGTGTCTGGCTTATTTCTTTCAACATAATGCCCTTTAGTTCTATCTACTTTGCTACAAATGATGGAATTTCATTCTTCTTTAGCTCTGAATGTGTATATTCCCTTATCGAATCATCTGTTGAAGGACATTTTTGGGTAGTGCCACAATAAATATGGCATGTAGGAATTTCTTCAGTTTGCTGATTTTATTACCTGTAGATACCTACCCAGAATTGAGACAGCTGGGTGACACGGTGGATCAATTCTAAGAGTTCTAAGGACCTTCCATACTGTTCTCCCTTGTGGCCATCCTCTTTTACATTCCTACCAACACTATACCCCAAACAACTAGTCCCCTTTCTCCATATGCTCAATAGTATCTTATTGTGTGCACAACAGCCATTCTAAGTAGGGCAAAATAATATTTCATTGTGGTTTTTATTTGCATTGTCCTGATGGCTGATATCGAGCATTTTCATATATTTATTGCTCATCTGTATTTTTTTTGAGAAATGTCTGTTCCGATCATTAACCCAATTGAAATTGGCTTGTTCAGTTTTGGTTAAGTTTTTTGAACTCCTTATGCATTCTGGATATTAACCTTCCATCTTTTGAATAGCTGGCAAATATTTTCCTCTGTTCTCTAGGTTGACCGTTCACTCTGCTGATTGTTTTTCCTTTGTGATACAGAAGCTTTTTAGTTTGATGTAATTCCAGTGGTTAATCTTTGCTTTTGTTTGCTGTGCTTTCACTATTCTATATATATATAT